CTTTCATCATTTCAATTGCTTTTGTTGAGTTGTACCTCAACTTATATCTTATGTCAACAATTAATTAATTTTTAAAACTTAAAAATTTTATTGATTTATTAGATATAGAATTTGATATATTTGGGTAATCTAAAACCAAATTTATTCAATAAGTTTCATTAATCTGTCATATATTTTATGTTAAAAATATATATATTTTTGACTAAAAAGTTTTCGAGTGGTACATTTAATTAAAATATTTTTCAAGCTAATTTAGTTTTATCCAACTTAGTATTTCAAAAATTAACTATATTGATTAATGTTATTCTTAATCAAATTTGGGGGCCAAATTTCTATTAAGTGGGGGAGAAATGTAATTATAGATATATTTTTTTCCTTAACATAAATTAATTACTATAAATGATATATTACTTTATTATTAACTTCTATATTTGTGTATTATAGTTAAGGAAATAGTTTACATTCCATTTTTGTGTGTGAACTATAAGAAATAAATATTATATTACTTTTTTGTGTGTGAAAGCAAATATAAAATAAATTAAAAATAAAAATTAAATTATTACTTACCTTTCAGGGAGATCTCATCTTCTCCTATATAAAGGGACTATTCATCCCTCATTCTCTACTAGGCCTAACAATATAATGATTGAGGAGATGACTTTTTAAGGAGATGATATCAAGGAAGGGATAATCGAAAAGAGGTAGGATCCTTTCTTTTTAATTAGTTTTGATTTGTGTTTTGAAATCTTGACATTGAGATTGTTACAATTTTATAATGAATAATGATGTTTTAATTTCAAAATTTCATGATTTTTGAATAATAATAATTGATTTGTGATGTTAGATGATTATTTGATTTGTATTGATCTTTTAAGCTTAAGTGGATTTTAATATTTATTTAATTATTAAAATTCTTATTTAGTATAATAGTTCTAATTTATTTAATTAGTTATATCTATATTTCAAGAATTATGTGTGAATTTCTGTAATGTAATTAGTTTTAAATTTTAGATCATAAATTTAAAGATTTAATTAATGTATTTGAATAATTCTTTAATAATTTAAATATTAAAATCTAATTTGATGAGAGGAGTCTAATTGGGATCTGACTTGAGTCAAGTTGATCGATCAGATCGAATCGACTCAGACCATGTGATCATGTACAACCTAGCTTATGTGACTAAGTACAACCTAGCCCATGTGGTCAAGCATGACCCAACCCATGTGGCTAGGTACGATCTAATCCATATGGTCATGTATGACCCAGCCCATGCGGTAAGGTACGACCCAACTATGTGGTTAGGCATGGACCAGCTCATGTGGCTAGATACAATCCAGTCTATGTGGCCATGTATAACCCAACTCATATGGTAAGGTACGACTCAACCATGTGGCTAAGCATGGGCCAGCTTATGTGGCTAGGTACAACTCAGTCTATGTGGTTAGATACGACCCCAACTCATGTGTCTATGATCAATTCGTGAGCTAAGCATGGCTTAGTTCAATGGTAAGGCCCAGCCCAACTTATAAGTGAGGCTTAGCCTAGTCCATGAAGTTAAGACTGCCAAGCGACGCGATTGATATTAGACATATCATCGCTCTTTTTATATAGCCCGTCGTACCTCAACTCAACCTAGTATTTGGAACAGGTATATGCAATGTATATGACCTGCCCAAGACTCAGGTGGTTTGGTTCGATTTGTGTTAGTACTATACGACATAGTCCAATTTCTTTCTCAATTGGTTTGAGCTCATTAATTAACGAAATCAAACATGTTTGATCAGTTAAAGCTGATTTAGGGTGATTCCAAACTAACTTGACTGGTTCAAACCTATTTGACCTAATTGAGATCAATTAAATCTAAATTAGACCGGTTTAGGGTGATTCCATAAGGATTTGGTATTGATTCCGTTAGATCATAATCGAATTGAGTTTAGTTTAAGTCAATTGAGCTATTCTAATTAGGGTTTTGATTGAGGACTATTGAGATATTGATATTTAATACTTTTATGATACGATGAATTTAAAGTTTTTATTTGAAAATATCATTTGAAAATGATTATTGTTTTCTATGTTTATTATATTGATATGATAAGTATCATGTAGTAGATGTGACTAGATTAGTAGTTCATTCGAAGTGTAAAACTGCCAAAGTAGAAAATACAAATTGGTATTAGCTGGTATTCGTAGTTCTACAGTACAAAACTGCCCCTCTTTGTATTCTTCTTTGCGATATATACATACAGATTGCTCCCTGAGAAAAAGAGCGACGTGACACGTCGCTTTAATCATGTATTAATGGATATATACAAAATATTTCATCTATATATATAGTTAAGTTTATGATTATTCCATTGATTTTAATGAGCTTTCGATCAAATAATTCAGGGGAAGTTTCTGGAAGATCCATTTAATTGTCCAGAACTAAGTTGTTGGCGCACACTTGAATCATTCGTTGCACTCCGACGACCACGTCACTGCTTACGTTGACCAGAGCATTTGAAGCGGCGTTACAAATACCGCGGTGCGGCAAGAAAAGCTCAGATATCGGCGAGCAAAGGCGATGAAGGAAACTGTGGTTTTGTACCCAGTGCCGGCGATGGGCCACTTGGTGCCCATGGTGGAGCTGGCCAAGCTCTTCGTCCTCCACGACTTCTCCGTCGTTGTCGTCCTCATGCACACGCCCGTAAAACATCCCTCCGTGGATCCCTTCGTCGCCCGCGTCTCCTCCGCCTACCCCTCCATCTCCTTCCACCAGCTCCCGCCGACCGCCTCCCTCCCCAACACCCCCGTTACCCGCTTCTTGGACCTCGTCCTCCCCAACAACCCCCAGCTCCTGCACTTCCTCGCTGCCCGTTCCCGCACCTCCGACATCCGCGTCGTCGTCCTCGACTTCTTCTGCACCGATGCCCTGGCCGTCACCGCCAAGCTCCGCCTCCCTTCCTACTTCTTCTTCGCCTCCTGCGCCGCCGTTCTCGCCGCCTTCCTCTATCTTCCGACCCTCTACGCCATCGCCGACATCGACTTAAAGGCCCTCGGCGACTCACCGCTCCACTTCCCGGGGCTGCCCCCCGTCCCCGCCTCCGACATGCCCCGCGAAATGATCGACCGCGATGAAGACTACTTCAAGAGGATGATACGTGTCTTCGAGAGCCTGCCGAACGCCGACGGCATCCTGGTCAATTCGTTCGAGTCCCTGGAGGCGGAGGCCATCCGGGTCCTTCGGGACGGGACCTGCATTCCCGGTCGTAGGATGTCGCCGGTTTTTTGTATCGGGCCGTTGATCGCCGACGGGAGCAGGGACGTCGGAGAAGATAAGGTGGAAAAAGCCGAGTGCGTGGCGTGGTTGGACGAGCAACCGCGCGGGAGCGTAGTGTTCCTATGCTTCGGTAGCATGGGAATGTTCTCCGCGGAGCAGCTCAAGGAGATCGCCGCTGGCCTGGAGAGGAGCGGACAGCGGTTCCTTTGGGTGGTGCGGGCTCCGCGGAGCGAGAGCCAGGGGCCGCAGTCAGAGCTGGACTTGGAGGCCCTGTTTCCGGAAGGCTTCTTGGAGCGGACAAAGCAGAGGGGGTTCCTGGCGAAGTCGTGGGCGCCGCAGGTGGAGGTGCTCAACCACGAGGCGGTGGGGGGGTTCGTAACGCACTGCGGGTGGAACTCGGTGCTGGAGGCGATCACGGCCGGGGTGCCGATGATCGGGTGGCCACTGTACGCGGAGCAGGGGATGAACAAGGTGCTCCTGGTGGAGCAGATGCGGGTGGCGGTGGCGATGGAGGGCTGCGCCAAGGAGCTGGTGGCGGCGGAGGAGGTTGAGGCCCGGATCAGGTGGCTGATGGAGTCGGAGGGGGGGCGGGAGCTGAGGGAACGGACGGTGGCGACGAAGCAGAGGGCGGCGGAGGCGAGACGGGAAGCGGGGACGTCTCATCAGGCGTGGCTGGACGTGGTGAAGACCTTGAGGAATGCAAGCACGTCACCACTTCGAACCACAGGATTGACGAGTGAGGACCACGTCAAGATGCCGTGCGATTGATGACATCCGGCACCCGTCGGTTGAGGAGTAGTGGACTCCCCATGTGATAAGCAATTCAATGGTTTGTGGACCTTTTGTTGGAAAACCTAAAAATAAATATTAAAATATTTTGAATAAGTTAAAAATTTAGTCAAACAATTAAATTATTAATTAATTTATTTCTTAATAAATAATGTGATCCTTAAAAGTAAATAATTTAAATTTTATTTTTATATGTGAATAATAAAAAATATTATAATTTTACTTTACGTATAAAAGTAAAATAAAAATAAACTAAAAAATATATTATTGTTTACCTGAGCTAACTTTCAAAATTTTAAGAGCAGCTCATTTATTAGCTTATTATTTTTTATATGTATATTAATTATTTTTTTCCTTGCTTCTTTTCCATATATTCAACCCACACCTTTCACCCCCCCACAAAAAAAACACTAATAATAAAACGGAGTCTCCTCAAACATGGAGAAATGCATGTCAACTCATGCTTTTATCACCAACTCCCACGTGCGTGATCACGGGCTTCGTCGGCTATGGTCACCCGTAGCGCGAGCTGCCGCCACCTCCTCCGTCATCGTCCTCATTCCTCGGAGCCGTCTCCTCCTTCAATCTCCAAACCTCATCCAAAACTCCACAGGCTTTGGCATTCTCGTTGATCCCACTGAGCCCAAATACCTTCCGTCCTAAAACTAAACTCCCCAAACTGGCTGCATCACCCTGCAGACGACAATTTTGTCTTCCAAGAAGACGCATCGATGCTTCCCTCTTCCCCGCCAAGAAGGCACACTTTACGCAGCTACCTGACAGTCAAACAAGTATTTGTCTCACTAACTTGGTTGATCCCTGATCAAATCTTATAACTAACAATCCAAGACCAGGTGTGCATGCAGAGAGTACTCTCCGTGAAAAATCATTAGTATACAGATCAATATTATAATATGTCTATACCTTCAGCCTTCAGATATGTGCCTCAATAGAAGTAAGCTATAATTATATAATTCAACTTCTTATAATGTAATTTCTTGGAGACACTTGACTAGCGGAAGATAAGGGAACATTAACAATGAGATTAATACAGGACAGACACACACAGATATGCATATGTTAGATGACTTCGGTCCCACATTGTTGACGTTTGGATCAGTGTAAATAATTTTGAAGCACAATCAGACATTTGCACTTCATAGTCAATAGTAAATTTCTTGAATTTATAAAAGATAACTAAAAATGCATCTGCCACATATGCACACACCTAACAAGTTGTACATGATATCAATCATAGGTAAGTTCTTCACAAACTACTGAACAAAGCCAAGATTTCAAAGTTATCCAAGTCCAGAACTTAGATTTCAAGCATATCACAAAATGATGAAATAAATTAGGCCATAAAAATGTGGACCTAAAGAACGTTAAAAATGAATATCATTCCGGCCGCTTCTGGCTGATGCTTTCTTTGATCACCAAAAACTAAAGACTCAGATCTAATATGAATTTTCAAAACAAAAGAATGCACTAAAACTCTCCACAAATCTCAGAGGCGCTTCAGACACCAAAAAGTCAATAGAAACTTATGCATATTTTCTTGTTCATGAAAGTTCAAAGCTGTCAAGTTATACATAACCTATATTTTCTTCTATTAAGAAAGACGGAAAAGACTATAACTTATTCAAGCATAAATCAAGGTAAGCATATTAGATGTAATACCTGATAAGGTAAAATTTGGACCCTGGCTACGTCACAATCAATGTCGCGCCGCTCCAACGATAGGTCAGCAAAAAGTGCGCTCCCATACATCGTCGTCCCGTGCGGGCGACTGCACAGAGATACAGTCTCGCCATTTCACGTGTCCCGGGACGACAACCGTGTGAAGGTACTATTTCGCTGTTTCGAGCGTTCCAAGATAACGACTGCACAGGTATCATCTCGCCCCTCGAGGATCGGCCGTCACGCCGAACAATACACCTCTCTGTTGATGATGAAGGCGATGCTCTCTTGATTCTGAGCCGCCATCCGAATTTGGTTGTAGCCCAAGAACGCGTCTATGAACGTGAGGAGTTCATGGCCCGCGGTGGCGCCGACTAGTTGGTCTATCCTAGGAAGTGGATAGTAGTCTTTGAGGCATGCTCGGTTAAGATTGGTGTAATCAACACACATCCTCCAGCTTCCATTGGATTTCTTAACGAGAACTACATTCGACAGCCACCGAGGGTATTTTACCTCGATAATGAATCCAGCCTCTTTAAGGCGATCGACCTCATCGTTGATTGCCTTCTGTCGGTCGGGAGCAAACTTCCTTGGTCTTTACCTCACCGGTCGAGCCTTGAGTGTTAGGAAAGGGCTGACCGTTAGTTTGGGGGTGCGCGACCGAGCTGAACCTCAATTGGATCCCGTATAACTGGCAATAGGCTTTGAACTTAGCATTGTTGAACTGAGCTCCATTGTCGGTGATGATAACCCTTGGGATCCCGAACCGATGATGATGTTCTTCCATGTGAAGCTTTGGATTTGCATCTCGGTAATGGAGGCCAAGGGTTCAGCTTTAACCCACTTCGTGAAGTAGTCCACCTCGACTATAAGAAAGCATCGTTGTCCTGATGCTGGAGGGAAGGGTCCAAGGAGATTTAGTCCCCATTGGGTGAAGGGCCAGGCTACGTCCATTGGGGTGAGAGGGATTGCTCGTCGATGTTATAGTTGGGCGTGCCTTTGGCATTGTTGGCACTACTACACGTATGACATGGCTGTTGGGAAAATCATGGGGGCGACATCACATGCGCAGCGGAAGAACAAGAAAATAAAATCCCCGATTCCCAAAGAGATGTTCGTCGTCGTACGAAGATTGGTACGCAAAATCCGTGAAACTTAAAACTGCGTATAAAGTAGGTTGTGTTACCTAGGGAGATCGTATATCCCTGTTTCCTTGGAGATCCTTAGGAGAGGGTGAAGGAGGTCAAGCGTCCTCCTCTCTAGCGGTGATCCACATGG